CTGAAGGGATTAATCCTCTGTACCTAGTCTGCATGTCCTAGGCCAGTGATTCTCAATCAGGGTGCCTTGAGATCCTTTCAAGGGTACTGCGGGGTACCACACAATGTTCTCACTGTTAAGTTTACAAACATGATTCACGAGATAAACTCTGAGATTTCAAATTGAAATCCATAGTTGTGGGCATTCGGAGTTCTTTGCAACAGAAAACTTTGCTATATTATTTTTATGTAGGCAAAAAAGAGTGAAAACTAAGAGTTGGCATTTTCCAAAGGGCGTTGCAAGTCTATCCAGGGACTTGAGTCTGAAAAGGTTGAGAACCACTGTCTTAGGTAATCTAAAGCTTGAGCAAAAGACAAGAATTCAGGGTTAGACCTGCCAAATCAGATCCTATGCTGTTGTAAATGGTGTCAGGGAGAGCTCTGCTGGCTGTTTGTGGCTGGTTACAAGAGAGCTGCAGTAGTCTGGTGCTGGTAGAATGGGAAGACTCTTTGACCTGCCTCTCAACTTTCTCAGCTGAAGGAAGCCAATATTGGAGAGCCCTCTTAGAAGTGGGTACCCACACCCTGGCTTGGTAGTAAATACCAGGAGGCCTCATGCTGCCACGAGAATTGGTAGCAGAGATGGGTGGTCACTAAGTAAGATGATAGGTGATTTCACCCATGAGGAAAATTGCTTTAGGCAGAGGGGTTTGTAGGTTTAAATGCTGTACACAGTCATTCGATTGATCGCTGCCTCTGATGACAAAGAGCCCTGTTACTCGCAATAGGCCTGTTAGTCGTAATAAACCTAACTCGTAATAAAAGATATCAGATTTACCTAAATAACCTTGTTTGCCTATGTCCTTAGACCAACACGGCTACAACCTATACCCCTGTTACTCATAAGGCACTTGAAGCTTTGTGGTCAGGTTCCTGTCCTTGGGGACAGGTGTTCAGGGGTATTTTAATATCTAGCTTCCATTAAGTTTGAAGGGAATTGGGTGTATAAAAGTCTTTAAAAAAAAGAAGCAACCAAAACCCACCACCCAAAACACCTGGTTCATAGTCTGTTAATTCTTTCAGAGTCAGGGACCATGTTTGGGTTCAGACTTATTGGCGGGGCACAGGGCTGTGATCCGTAGGTCTGATTTCGTACCCTATTCTTGACACCAGCTGTTGTGTGGACAAGCCTCTTAACTTCTCTGAGTTTCCCTATCTTTTCAAATCATGCTCTTTGCATGCCTCTTGGGAGTGTGTGAGGATTAGCTAGTTACTGCTCACAAAGCACTCTCCTGCATCAGTGCTGAATGCTGTGTTCTCTTGAGTAAAAACAGCCTTTAAAGTTGCTTTGTTACGAAGGAAAAAGAATAATAATGGAATGTGATCAGTTGGGTTTCGCATGGAGAAGCTATATATGAGAGACCCTGCTGCTCTCTAACAGTAATTAGTTAACTCGCTTGAGACCTATACCCATTTTTCACTGACAGAACTATTGCTGCAGTTGCTGTACTAAACAAACAGGAGCCTCCATGCCTTTATGGCACATGAATATGGCACAGCCCATAGGATGTGGGGGGCTATTTCAAGCATCTTCTAGGGTGTGACAAGCCAAAGATATGTAACAAACAGATATTCTGAGATAGTTAGTGCCAGTCTAGAATGACTGTGCCCCTTCTCCCTCCTCTTTGCTCATTTCCCCCTTACTGTGCAAGTGAAGGGGAAAGTTGGAATGAATAACCCCCTTTTTAAAATGAGGTTTTGGCTGACATTTGCTCATTTTGGGTGCCACCTGCCTCTTCAAACCCAGAGATTTACCCCATCCTCTAGGGGCATGGCCAAGGCACCCCAGGAAGCAGCAAAGGCTGTTGCCTGTTACTAATCAGGGTTATCTGCTGCTTCAAAGAGGCACAGAGTAGGTGGATGGCAGGAGGGGACTGGAAAGAACAGACTCATGAATAGGCAGGAAACATCTGCCTACCCTGCTCTTTAGTAAGGAGCTTGACAGTGGAGCTGAGAGGTGGCAGGAAGGCATAGGGAGGCAGGTAGAGGGAAATGGATTCTCACACAACTGGGTCAGGTGGGAATGTCCTCAGGCGAAAGAAAACAATTGAAGGAACCTACCCTGACAAAAGCAGGGCTTAATAGAAGAGCTGCCAGCACTGGGATACCTACTGGCACTTTCCCTTTTGATACATTTTCTGTTGAGGAAAGAGTGAAGACCTGTGTGTCTTGACCTGGGCAAGCCCCACTCTTACCTATGATAAAAAGAGGGAGTTAATCTGAAGTCAGACAGAAGGCAGGGCAACGTAGCACCTTAGAGACTGAGTGGCTCAGGGAGGCATAAACTTTTGTAAGTGACAGCAGCCTACTTCATCAGGTTGTAAGAATGGATTTGCAGAAAGCCCTTTTGCAAGTCTGTTCTTAGTATCTGATGAAGTATACTGGGGCTGACCTAAATAAGGCCTCTGGGCCAGATCTGGCTTGTTGAACTATGTCATCCAGCTTCCCACAGGTCTAGAAATTCAGTGGCAGGGCAAGCAATGTCAGCATTAATTACTGTGGCAAATGACATTACCGCTACTTGTCCTGCCACCAGCTTTCCAGGTCTGTGGGGAGCCCTGTAGTCCAGATCTAGAGCATGGAGTCACCTTGTCTGTATTCTGGGACTGCTCACAAGGCTGACACTTCAGCAGTGGGAGGAGTGGTGGGTGCTGTAGTTTTAGGAGCCACAGCAATTAATGCTGCTGTTATCAAATTCCAGCCTTGTGGGCCAGATACAGGACCCTGCACTCTGGACCCACCTCATCTGGGCTGGATGAATTTGGTACTTCCTAAATAGACTCACCTACAAAAACATGTGCCTCTGAACCAGTTACTCTAAGATGCCACCTTGCCTTTCCTTCTTTCTTACGTCTGGTATGAAATGCCAACTGTCCTCCTCATTTGTTCCTTTTACTGGAGCCTGTGGTTCCTGTTGCCACACACAACAGTATTTGTGACACGTCTTTGTGACTCATAGATAGGAGTCAAAGTGACAGTGCTAGGAATGGTTGGCTGTGCTCAGCACCTTTCAGCTCCTCTATGTGGACCTCAAGGTGCTGTATGCAACACAGCCAGTCCTGTTCACCCCATTTGTTAGATAAGTAAGTGCTCTGTGCGCCTTGTGCTAGGTGTGCGCCTCAGCAGTTTACCTAAAAAAGTTGCTTGCTAAATTGTACCAGAGCTCCTTCTCTGTGTCTGTATCTTCAAACAGTTTTTTTTTTCTGTAGGCTCCCTGAGGGGGAGCAGAGGGCTGACTAACTGATTACTATTTTGCCAGCATTGTGGTACACTCTTCTCTAACATGAGACAGAACCAGTGGAAGCAAGCTGCCAAATACGCACACCCAAGCTGTCATGAAACCTACTGCTGTGTCCCTTTTTGCTAATTACCCTCTGCTACTATGCATGGCTCCTGGTTTTGGGAGCACTTGGGTGACTGTTGCAGTGTGTGCAGCCCATTATTCTATCAGGCTTCAGAAATGAACATTTCCACATGGAAAATAATCTGGTGTGAGGTCAAGAAATGGTTTTCCAAGGCACCCTCAACAGCAGATGGCCACTGCTAATTCAAGAGTTATTTAATAAGATAGAGAGACTGGGTTTCAGTGTGTCACTTTGGCTTCATTTATTGGCTGTCTGAGGAAGAGCTGCCATCTAAACTCTGTTCCTTGTCTCCATTTGAGCCTTGTTCAGTAGCAAACTGTTAAAGCCAGCTGAATTCGACTAAGGGGTAGGAGAAGGTTCAGACTGGGCCAAGCTGCCAAATCAGCAACTCAGTTTGCCAGAAATGAAATGGAACGACCAGTTTCACCCCAGGGCAGTGAGGAACAATTTGAGTTTGTGCATTAATGAAATTGGAGCTGTTAATTGCTCAGTGCTTGGAAATACACTTTGTGACATTCATGTTTAGCACAGGTCATTCGAACAAAGACTGTTTCAAGTACAGAGAAAATGGTCTAAAAATACCATTTTTTTTTTTTTTTTTTTTCCCCTCCAGCTGGAGCTGATTTAGGAGCTGCTGCATTCTTTGTTGAAGTGTACTGGAAGACAATAGTGAGATGAAAGTTTTGAGACTATAATTTTATTCTCCTCCCACCCCACCCCCGGCCCAAACATGGAGTGGCTGGTGCAAGCACAGAGAAAAAAACAACTGTTTTTCTTGGTCAGAGGTTCCAAGACCCAAATCTCTTTCCTTCTTTCTCTGGAATCTTTCACTGTCCCAGAAAAGGTGCTTTCTTGCTTTCTAATTGTAGAGAAAATGTTTAGTTTAAAAAAAAATCTTTTCTGCTTGTTTTTTTCTTACTAACACAGCAGATATGCAGGAAATAGTTATGAACCCCTCCGCTGCTTATCTTCAGTGATTGCAAAAAAGTGCAAAATTATGCAGTTTCTCTTGTCTTAGCTTTTTTGCATTTATGTCCAATCCTTCTGTCCAGGTCAGAAGGGAAGGCATGAAGCAAACTCTGGTATGCTATTTTTTTTGTTTTTTGCCTTCTTCAAGCATAAATCTTCTGTCTGAAAATATTCCTACAAACTGACAAGTTAACATTTCAGCTTTGTCTGAATGTGATCTTGATGATGTGATGAAAGGTTTTTAATCATTCTCTGCTACATTCATATGAATGCAGTATCTCTAGATCAGTTTATCACAGATTTTGAAGCATGAAACTGAACCATTCAGCGTCCATCCTGATGTGTTGTGTCATGAGGTGCTGGGAGGGTAGGACAGTACTGCTGCTATTCTATGGAGCACTGAGCTAAGAGAGCTACTACTGCACTACAACATGGTGCACCTTTAATTTCCCTCCCAACTCGATGTAAAAAGTCTGGCCTGAGTTTCTGATGGGAAGGAGTGTCTGTCATCTCACCATCTGCTGATGCTAACGGAATTGCTGGCACCTCTTGTGCCTTGCACCCATGCTGCTCTCTTGCTCAACCTGCTTGTTCTCATGCTGTCTGTCTCTGCTCTTCTCTCCCATAGGTAACTGACCGGCTTCCCTGGTTTTTGATGCTGAAGCAGGATTGTTTTAACTAAAGATGGAAACACTGGAGTCAGAATTGACCTGCCCAATCTGCCTGGAGTTATTTGAAGACCCTCTCTTGCTGCCCTGTGCTCATAGCCTGTGCTTCAGCTGTGCCCATCGCATCCTGGTGTCCAGCTGCTCATCTAGCGAGTCAATAGAGCCTATCACAGCATTCCAGTGCCCCACCTGTAGGTATGTCATCTCCCTTAACCACCGTGGCCTAGAGGGTCTCAAGCGGAATGTGACACTGCAGAATATTATTGACCGCTTCCAAAAGGCATCTCTGAGTGGCCCCAACTCCCCCAGTGAGAGTCGCAGAGAGAGAACTTACCGCAACAGCCCTACCATGTCTAGTGAAAGAATAGCATGTCAGTTTTGTGAGCAGGATCCACCAAGGGACGCAGTGAAGACCTGCATAACATGTGAGGTGTCCTACTGTGACCGCTGCCTCCGGGCTACGCATCCCAACAAGAAGCCTTTCACCAGCCACCGTCTGGTGGAGCCTGTGCCAGACACGCATTTCCGAGGACTCACTTGCTTTGAGCATGAGAATGAGAAAGTAAACATGTACTGTGTTGCTGATGACCAGCTGATCTGTGCCTTATGCAAACTGGTGGGCCGCCACAGGGATCACCAGGTGGCATCCCTAAGTGATAGATTTGAGAAGCTCAAGGTAAGAGCCACAGGCTTTTTTTCTACCTAGAAGGGACTGGTGGGAGCTATGGAGCTTTTGCTACTTTTTGGTCATGTCAGAAAATAAGGGTATCAACTTATGCCAAAGGGTAACATACCAACATTAAAGGGCTGCCGTTCATTTCCATGAAGTGGAGTAGGTTTCAGCCTTTAATATGAAGTCTGAGAGCAAGACAGTTTACTGTATGCTGGGATCTGCAGTTTCTGTTAGGCTTAAGGTCTGTAATAAAGGTGAACTATAATGAGTTGGAGACTGGAACACCATGATATGATACTCTTTGGCCAGTGTATTAAGTGTCTCGTATACCCTAATAAGCCTTCTAAACTGGAAAGATCTGGCTCCTTTGATAACTGAGATTTTGTATGTTGCTTAAATATTGTGATCACCAGAGCCTTAGCACCAAGACCCTTAAGCAAATCTAAGGCCTAGCTGTATCTTGCTCATCTGATTGCAGTGAAGTAATTTGTTTTCTGCTGATTTATGTGTCACGAGTCTAGTCATCGGACATTGTAACAGAATCAATGAGACCACAAAACATGGAGAAAGCTTTCCCGATGCCTAAAATTAGAGTCAGCGTGTACAGCGGATAATGCAGTGGTGGTTCTGGATAACAGAACTAAGGGTGTCGACAACAGAGGTTGCTGAGCTGGTTCTGGGCAATGGGTATTGGGGAGAGGGGAAGCTTCAAGACAAATCCAGGTCTGGGACTAATGGGAGTACAAGAGACCTTTCAAGGTCACGGAAGAGCCAGTGCTCAGTGTAAGCAGTGTATGCAAAGGATTTACCAGTAGCAGCAATGGATACTTAGTGCTGTTGTGACCTCTGGATTTCAACAGTTGGTGTGCAAATTCGCCAGAGGAACTGAACAGTCTTCCTCACATGCCCTAGAAGGTTCCTCATGTCTCCAGAACGCTCATCCTCCTCCTAGATCCATTTTCTAGGTTTAGCATTTTCAGTGAAAGAAGAGGGTTCCAGGGGATGGGGTGCATTTGACTCTCTCAAATGTTGAGTCAAGCCAAGTCTCCTTAGGCTGACACAGAGGTACTGCTGTCTACAGCTTTGCAATGAACCAATTTTTGCAGCTTTTTTATGTCTTAGAGAACAAAGTGCCCTGTCAGTTCAGAACCACAGAGGAATTTTCTGGGGTATATTCCTGTTGTGTCTCTCCAGTCCAGTATGTCCAAAACACAATGGTGCAACACAATGGTTAACTCTTGTTCTATGAGATAAGGCCCAGAAAATGAAGGTGACTCGGTGACACCTGGCTAGCATGTAAGTACTGCTTGGTGAATAGTAACAGTGTGCTGAGGACAGAAGCCTGCCTGACATCATGTCCATACCTTTTCTCTAGAGCCTGCCTGTATGCCTTTCTGTTCAGGCTCTGGAATCTCCAATCTGCTATTGGTTTACAATGACAGACAGACTTGTCAGCTACACTTGCCAAGATAATAAAAAGGCTTATTTGAGAGCAGGGAAGTCTGTTTCTTCTTCGTCTCAGGGGGGAAGGGAGGCAAGCTTTCTCTGAAGCAGAGCTGACTGTAGGAACAGGATTGTGACTAGCCTAGAGCTGAATTCCACAGACCACAGCCCAATTCTTGTGCTCAGAATGAAGGAGACATGCAGGGGCCCTGGGGGCTGCATGTGTAGATGATGGAGAGAGAGTGCTGTGGAGACAGCTAATGACTTTTAAGTATAAAGAGCATAGGGTGCCCCTTTGCCAACTTGTTCCATGTACTCTGCACTTGATGTAGCAGCTATGCTTTGCCTCTTGAGGGCCAGTTTTGCTCTGGGGTTTCTGTAGAGCATCTCTTTTGTGATCCAGCCAGGTATTGGGTTGGATATTCAAAAGGGAGACATCCTTGCTGCAAAAATTTAGGAAGATATCGAGACAGCTGAAGAAACGAAGATCCTAGGTAACCCGAGAGACCTTTTCTGTTCTGAGTTGTATGATACAGCTCATCTGAAACCTTTTTGATGATTAATGACCATGTGCCTAGATGCTCTGAGATGTGGTATGGGGTCTTGTGTTGGACTGAAAATTTCTTGCTAGCTGTGTGTCCATTGTCCTTGATACATTTTCATTTTTGGAAGAATGGTTACTGCTAGGTACTGCTCATTGTTTACTTGGTGTCACTTGGTTCTTCCTTTATCAATCTCCAGTCAGCCATTGTCACTGCAGGATCTGAGCTGGGGGCAGCTTCTTTCAGTACCAGTGCTGCTCCAGGGGTAACATTGCCAGTACTGATGACATTCAAAGGAGAGAGAGCATCAGACGGTCTTCAGCCTCCCAACCATGATGTCCAAAGTCATCCATCCATCTATCTAGCATGTTGTTGCTTTAGATATGAATATATTTTATTTACAGTCCCCTCAGGAAATTCTGTTATCCCCATTTTGCACATTTAATTAAGGAGCACTGTGGGTTAAATGATTCTTACAAGGTCACATGGAGTGTCTGTGACAGTTGAGAACTAGGGCTGTGTGAAGCTTTGGGTGGTGTTCTGATTTGGAGAAGATTTCGCCTGATTTGGTGGCTGAATCTCTGAATCCAAATTGAATCAGCGGACCAGTTAAAAGGTCTGAATTGATTCAAAGCTCTCTGAATCTT